TGTTTTTGCTTCAGATTTTGTGTTTTTGCTGAGAAGGAACTTCTTGAAAGTTCTTTTATACCCTCTCTCCCCAGAAGTAGCCACTGCTGTGAATTGCTGTTTCTCATTCCTATGCATGTCATATTTTATTACATATGGATATTCATGAACAAGATATAGTATACTTTTCCCTGTTTTAAAGACATTGATAAGTACTGTCATTTTTGACTAGTAATCCTTGTAAAGTGTACCTTCAACATTACTTTTGAAATCCATGTTGCCATTGGAAGTACTTAGTTCATTTTAATAGTTTGGTATTTCATTTTATGAATATTTTGTCATTTATTGTTTTTCTCCTGATGAATATTTAGATTCTTTTTTTCTTTTTTAGTTCTGCAAATAATGTAACGGTTAACACTTTTTTTCCTTATACATTTCTCCCGGGGGTACATGTGCAAGATTTCTTTAGGAAATATCTAGAAGAGCTATTGCTGGCTCATCGTATACTTATTTTCATCTGCCAAATCCCTCCCCAGAGCCATTGCACCAGTTTATCCTTCTGTTTGCAGTGTTATGAATATATTTCCTCACTCCCTGGCTAATGCTGGTCACTCCTTTAATTTTGCCAATCTAATGAAGTAGCATTATTTGGTATTTCTATTTGCTATTCTCTTTGGTATTTCCTATTGGTATTCCCTTCTGTGAGGTTTGAGTGCCTTGGCCATTCTTGTTTTCTCTGGTTGGCCTTTTTATATTTTTGACATGGCCCTCTATGGATTTATCATGGCCCTCTATGGATTTATCTTTTCTCTTAAAAGTTTGATTAGTTTTCTTTACCTTCTGGATACCAAGAATTTGTCTGTTTATGTAAAGTTTTCTTATAAGCTCACTTACGGAATTATCAATATTTTGTAGAAGAGAGATGTTGAATTTTGATGTAGATTTATTAAACTTTCTCTTTTAAGTTGTGTTTTTTTTTTGGTATCTTGCTAAGAAATGTTTCCCAGCTCAGGATCATAAAGACCTTTCTTTTAATGCTTTTTTCATTTTTTAGAAATATTTGTGCATTGAACACTTTTTAGACCTTTAATTTATCTATAATTTGTTTTCTGTATTTGTATGAAATGCGGGAATCTGATGTTTTTTTGCATAATGATAGCCAGTTGTCTTATATGAGAGTACTATTTCTCCCATCATTTAACGTGCCATCTTTCTTATATTTTAGTATTTATTATTTTTAAAGATTTATTTATTTATTCATACAGAACTGGGGTACAAGACAGAGGTGCAGGGGCAGTCAGAGGCTTCAACAGAGACAGCGTGGGTTGCAGAGCAGGCCGGTCAGGAGAGGTCTGCCATGCCTTGTGGATCACCTCCAGGGTGCAGGATCTAACTCAAGCGGCTGCGGCTAGCTTGCAGTGCTGCATCTTAATCAGATGTACCACCAGGGAGGAACCTATTTTTGTATTATTTTTAAACTTTTTTTTGCGTGGAAGAACTCAGTGTAGACTAGAGGTAGGGGGGCGGGGGTTGGGGAGAGGATTCATCAGAGACAGAGTGAGCAGCAAAATAGGCACATGTACTGAGATACACTACTAAGGTGAGCAACAGTTGAGACAGGAGAGGTCTGCTGCACTATGTGTGTGTTAGCTACCAGGCTGGAGATGGAACTCAAGTTATAGAGGTGATGGGGCAGAGACTTAACCCTAGGCCACCAGGGAAGCTCCATCTTTCTTATTTTAATTTGCCATTCACACTTAGGTTTGCTAGTTTTGTTTTGTTGAACTTATTTGCATGGCTTTGCACTAGTGTGGCAAACCTTGCTATCTAGTAGTGCAAACACTTTTTCCCTGTTGATTTTTTTAGCAGTTTTAGACCTTCATTTTTCTGTATGAATTTTGGAATAAGTTCATCTAATTAAAACATTCTGTTGAGATTTTGATAATGCTCACATTGAATTTATAGATGAATTTATAGCCCACATCATGGTGTAAGCTTCAAGAAGGCAGGCACTTTTGTTTGTTTTCTTTACTTCTGTGTCCTCAACACTTAGTCATTTCTTTCACACAGTAGATACTTTATACTATTTATTTAATGACAATTCAACATAGTATACCTCTCTATTTATTTAGGTCACTTTTACATTCTTTAATAATATTTTGTAGTTTTCAATATAGGAGCTTGTGTTTTGTTAGATTCTTTTTATGTACTCAATAATTTTTGTGATTATTGTTTTTAACTTTTTAATGTATTTTAATTGGTTATTCACGATATTTGGATATGTTTTTGATTTTTAAATGATGATTATGTGTTATCTACATGACTCAACTTTCACTTTAGTTCTAACACTCTGTGACTATCTACTAAATAGTCGATATTGATTTTAATTTCATCTCGCTTTTCACCCTGGCCTACCTAATATACTCTCTGTTAAGTTTCAGAGACAAAGGAAAGATCTCAAAATTGAACATTGAAGAGTAGGAGGAAGAGGTGGAAAGACAAAAACAAAAACCCAGGAGGTCAGATAAACCATAAAACCAATGATTAGCTTGAAAATAATCTAATGTTGACCTACTACTATGTATTTACATTTACTGAGAACACAACACTCTTTTCAAATCTATTTCATTCCATATGTCTTAGTGTTAAGTGATGAAATTTTAGGAAACTGAGGATGAAACTGCAACTTAGAGACTTGAAATAACTTGCTTAGGGTAACAAAGTTGGCAGAATTGTGGAATTCTGCCCATGTTAGCTCTACCTCTGAAATATTAAGTTAAATATTTCACTCTCTGGTTGTTCCCACTTTCAATTTACCTGTCACTCATTTATTCTCAATTTGATCTGCTTTCTATTCTTGAGTTCTCCAAACTTGTTACATGTTCTCTGTCTGGGATACCCTTCTTCTTCCCTTACTCTTCTTTACTTGTACCCCTTGTGGTTACAATATCCACTTATCCATCCATCATCCATCCATCCATCCTCTGTCTACTCATCATCCATCCATCCATCAGATAATTTCTGAGCAGTTGGTATATGTCCAACCTGCAACCATTTTTACGTGCTAACCCTGTCTACACCCTCCATAACAACTTTTTCACCTTATGATAAGATCACATTTTTTTAACCTCACCAGAATCTGTTATGCCAAGTATGTATGTGTATATTCCCCTCGTACACTGTGAGCCGCCCAAGACATGGAACATATCTTCATTCACTTTGAAGACTGAGCATCAGCACAGAGCCTACACATGGGCCAATCTTGTTGGTTGACTATGGAATTATAGTTTCTCAAACAATGCTGATTTTGAGTAGTAACTAACAGTGATGCAAAGGTTATGATTTTTGGTAGGAAAACCTAGTTTGTTCTTTTTTTTTTTTCTGAAAGGAAGAGAATCAAATCCAAATGTAAGGGGTGAATTCTGGCATCAGGGAGAAATCATTTTTTCCAGTGTTTGTGCAGCCCTTCTCCTTCTTTCTCCTTCTGCCGTCAAGCAGAAGTGGAGGGGGACAGTGAGGCTGGACCAGTGAAAAGAATGCCATAAACTTCTCTTTCAGTAGATTTCAATTGACTTCCAGGATCATTATGTATGGATTGCTAAGTGGGCTTTTGATATAGGTTTTATTTCATACCTTTTTGGCGCAGATTTGTGGAAGGGAGAAGGGAGGCTCTGAGACCCAGAAGGAGAGGAATGCTAATGTAAGTTAGGTGTTAGATTTGGAAAGATAGGCTTTTGAGCTAAAATATTTAATAATTTTCACATTTCTAAAATGTGAACTATAAACTTTTATAGTCGAGCTATAAAAACTTAATGTGTGAATCATAGATTGAGTCAGTTTTCCATGCGAAATAATGAACTGTGGGAAAGGAGATGTAGGACTGATAGGAAGATAGACTAAAGAAGCAGTAAGACCTTGATGCTACCATAACACGTGGCTGGGAAGGATGGTTGAGAATGTTGGAAATCTATACTTTTCTAATAACTGAAAAAACATTTGGTGTAGAGATACAGTTTTGGGGATGTGAAACAATAATTGTTAGAATCCTATTTGAGAGTAAAATATTTCATAAATTATTTTATCAGAGGAGTAATGAGTGCTTCTGTTGCATAGCCATTTGATGGAAGTGTATTTCATTGCTGATGGGCCTTGAACTATAGATAGAAAATACATCTGGCTTAAGATGGTAAAGTCGCCATCAGCAGGTGTTCCAAAAATGCTTAAGGAGGTCACACTGAAGTTTTAATATGCCTGGTGGCTGTGTATCTGTGTGCATTAGCGACTGCTTATCAATGCTTATTAAATCTTGCAACAATAATTCTTGATTATGCCCAGAGCCAAAAAGCCTCCCTTCCAGGAACCTCTACCATCTTGCAGAGTAGTCCTGTTGTTGGGCATGGACTCCGGACACTTGGGAGCTTGTACTGAAGTTTTAAAAAATGTTTTTGTGTAGAAGAACTTGGGTATAAGTTCAAGGTCTGGGCAGTGAGAGGATTCACCAGAGACAGAATGGAGAGCAGAATAGGCAGATTGACTGAAAAGTGGGAGAAGTGGTTGAGACAGGTGAGGTCTGCTGGGATCCAGGTGGGTGAGCTCCCTGTCTGGGATCCAGCTCAGGCCACAGTGGTGATAAGGCTGAGACTTAACCCCTAGGCCACCAGAGAGACCCCCTGATTTGAAGTTGAAATTTCTACTTCATCTGGGCCCCTGGTTCCACTTCCCTTTCCAGGACTACTTTATAACTTGGTAAAAATAATCAAATAGAACAAAGCATTGCCCTTCACTTACCTCCATTGACCTACAAGTTCCTGTTTATCCTAGAATCTCTAATCCAGGTTGAATACTTACTCTTGGCCCTTTATAAAATCTGGGAACCTTTCAGGTGTATTTCACCTCCCAACTAACTCCCCCCTTGCCCCTCAGCTGATTGTGTATTCATAGGCTGCATTTTAACTATCTTGTTTTCTTTTCAGAAGGTAAAAGGGGCATCTGGAGGAGCTTTACCAAAAAGGAGGAATTCCAAGATTTTTTTAGGTAATGTAAACAGTTCTCAATAGCGTGTCCAGACTTTCTGTGTGTGTGCTCATGTGCTTGTGATTTGGAGTAGTGGGTTGTTTATTGCTCTACAGTTTTAAGGATGAGAGGAACAGATTTAAATCAAGAGGCTCTGCCTCTACTTTTTGTTTACCTAGTGGTGAAGAATGTTTTTCACACTCTGTGTTGGGTTAGTGTTTTGAAGGGATTATACTTTTAATGATTGAGAGTATTTGCGGTTCTGCTTCTGGTTTCTTTTATTCATTGCCTTTAAAAAAAGAGACAGTTTTTCATTTTTAATATTAAGTCTGCTGAGGTCTTTATTTCAATTTTACCATTTCCCTCTTCCTTCCCCTCCATATCATCAGGATCCTATGTTGCATTCAGTTGTCATGTTTGCTTAATCCTGTCCAATTTATAGCAGTTCCTCAATAACTATGACACTTGAGAACACTACTGGCCAGATATTTGGTAGAGTGTACCTCATTTGGGTTTATCTGATGTTTCCTCAGCGTAATTTTGAAACTCTGCATTTTTGGCAAGGACAGCACAGAGGTGATATGTCCTCCTTAGTGCCAGATACCAGGGGCCACATGATGCTGATGTGTCCTCTTTTTTTAAAAAAGGTTTATTTATTTATGCATACAGAACTGGGGTACAGGCCAGAGGGGCAGGGGCAGTGAGAAGATTCACCAGAGACAGAGTGGGGAGCAGCAGGCGGGTCAGGAGAGGTCTGCCTCGCCATGTGGTCACCTCCGGGGCAGGCGGGGATCGAACTCATGTGGAAGTGGCTTTAGCTTCTTAGTGCTGTGCTTTAACTTGCTGCACCACCAGGGAGGGCACTGATGTGTCCTCTTATTGGTGAAATTAACCTTGAGACTTTTAAGTTGGTGTTTGCTGGGCTCCTCCATTGTATTTTTAGTGTAACTAACACATATTTTGGGAGCAATACCTTAAATGTAGGCTAGTATCTTGTTTCTCTTCAGAGTTTTGTCCCTATTTTTTAAATGATGTCCCTAATTTTTTAAGAAAACATTTATATATTTATGCATACAGGAACTGGGTCAGAGATGTGGGGGTGAGAGGGTTCACCAGAGACAGAGTGGGGAGTAGAACAGGCAGATTGATTGAAATACACTGCTGAGGGGAGCAGTGGGTGAGACAGGAGAGGTCTGCTGTGATATGTGGGTCAGCTTCCTGACTAGGGATTGAATTCCTGTGGCAGTGGTTGGTGATAGTGTGATAGTGCTGTGTCTTTTAACCCCTGTGCCACCAGGGAGGCCCAGAGTTTTGTCCCTAATTTTGCCAATCAGTGAGCTTTGCCTGCAACAGTGATTGTTGGTGTTTGTCTAAGGGTGATTTTTCTGTCTCCCTCATTGAGAAGAGCCAGTTTTGCTTATGCACATGAGTGCTTGATTATGTACCATGTAGTCATTATCACGTATCTAATTAAGTGTCTGCTATTGTTTTCCCAGGAGAAAAAGTATTTTGATAATGTCTCATTAAGCACATTTATATGCCTAAATGCCTGGGATTATTGTTTGAAAGGAATATAAAAATTGGTATTTTGGTACCAATTTTGGTACCAAATCCATATACTCAAACACCTGTGTGCATGTGTGTGCACCTATGTAAATATGTGTACATGTGCTTCTGTTTGTATATATGTGCACTAATGTATATGCATGTGTCTATGTGTGTGTGTTTGATGCACACATACACATTTAACTTGGTCTCGAAGAGTTGGGCAGAACATACTCCAAATTGTTAATAGAAGCTCTTTCCTAATAAGGGGATTTTTATTTTCTCCTTTCTGCTTCTAAAAAATGCTTTATTTTTTTTAATAGCACACACCTATTACTGTTATACTAAAAAGACACTCGACTTGTTCGAAAGGTAAAGCCTTTCAATCTTGGAGCTGTTTTTGTCCTGAGTTGATTCTCCATTACTCCACGTTGGGCCCAGCCTGCTTCATCTCTATTTCCAGCTCTTGGTTTTCGTTATGAGGTTTTATCCACAGTAGGTTTTTCTACCCTGGCCAATCTTTCATGCTTCTTGGTCCTTGGACCATTACCCAAATCAATCAAGCATACCTGAACTAGCTTAGAATGAACCCTAAACCTGAAATAATTGAATGGTTTTGATTCCAGTTATTAATCTTCAGTTACCTTCTCTAATATAGAGCATTGACTTGCTTTTCTTCAGTACCTAGAATCTTCCCATATTTCTGCTTCAGACTCCATCCTGAACTTTGATTTTCAACCTCACAATCATTTCATAGTCCAAAAAGGCTGCTGGAGCTCTAGTCATCACATCTCCATTCTGGAAGGCAGGAAAGACGATCGGGGAAGGAAAAAAAATTAATCTCCCACAGAATCAGTTTCCTTTGGTCAACCTTTTATAGGTTCCCCAGGCAGCACTTCAGTTTATACCTCTCTGGTCAGCACTTAATCACATGCCCACATTCCTACTCCACAGGAGACTGGTAAGTAGTCTGTTGACTAAAGTTAGTCTCCAAGGAAGAAAGTGAGTATGTATATTTGGAGAAAGGGAGTAGTTTTTGTCACTGATTTCTTCCTTAAAAGGGGCATTTGGGGCTCTCTCTGGTGGTGCAATGTCTTAAAGCACACACTAAGAAGCTAAAGCCACTTCAGCATAAGTTCAATCCCTTTCCCTGGAGGTGACCACATGGCAGGGCAGACCTCTCCTGACCCGCCCGCTGCTCCCCTCAGCAGTGTACTTCATCATTTGGCCTGTTCTGCTCCCCACTCTGTCTCTGGTGAATCCTCTCACCGCCCCTACATCTCTAGCCTGAATGCTGGTTCTGTATGCATAAATAGGTAAATCTTAAAACAAAACAAAACAAAACAAAAAGACGGGACATTTGACATTTGATTGTCTCTTCCAGGGTAGAAGAATTCAGAACTTTCAGTCTTTATTTTTCCTACTAGAGAGTAGTTTTTTTTTTTTTTTTAAAGATTTATTTATTTGTGCATACAGAACTGGGGTACAGGCCAGAGGTCAGGGGCAGCGAGAGGCTTCACCAGAGACAGAGTGGGGAGCAGAACAGGCAGATCTATGAAGTACACTGCTGAGGGGAGCAGCGGGCGGATCAGAAGTCTGCCGCGCCATGTGGTCACCTCCGGGGCAGGCGGGAATCAAACTCTTCCGGAAGTGGCTTTAGTTTCTCAGTGCTGTACTTTAACCGCGGCGCCACCAGGGAGGGCCTAGAGAGTAGTTTTTGATAGCTGTTGAAGTGTAGTTATGATAAAACAGATAATGCTTTTATCCTGGATAGAGAGGCATTGCCTCCGTGCCCTTCCCCACGCCCCACATTCAGTTGCTGACTGTGAATAACTGCTTTTCTGTTGACTCAAGAATGACACTGAAGACACTGAATCATTCAGTTATGACCTTCGATATTGATTTTATAAGGGAAACTGAGGGATTAGCTGGTGCTTAACTCAGTCTTCTGAGTACCCGCAATGGTCGAGTCATTCTTGATGTTCATGTGAGTGAATTCACAGCTAAGGATCATCCCCTCAGTTCTAGCGTTTGCTGCTGATGTTTTTTTTTTAAATCAACAACTACAGTTATTGATAATTTTTTCCATTATCATTTATAATCTATTTTTATATTTAGCATTTAAAGTGTATTTTGAATATGTAACATGGATCAAATTTAAGATTGAAATTATAAAAGGACCATAGTGAAAAATCAATTTCTATCTTCCCTCTTTCCCAGCCACTTTGTTCTTTTCACAGAGTCAAACAGTATTTTCTGTTTGTACATCTTTATATATCTTTCTAATGATAGTCTACACATCTAACATTCTTTTAGATTTTTTTTCTATAGGCACTGGATTCTTAAATTTGGTTTCCAAACTGTGTCCTAAGGCACCCTGGGTTGCTCTGATGAAATCACAGGTGTGACATGGCATATTTTAAGGAACACAGTGACACGCCAACATTACATTGATGTAGTTTTGCTGTTAAAGTAGTCCATATTCCTTCACTGACTTCATTTCTTTGTGAAGCCAGATTTTTGGTTTTCTCTATGTGAAAATCAATGTAGAATAGGGAATAAAGGAGCTTCCACTCTGATTCAAAGAGAAGTTATGGAGTGACCCAAACTGCACACATTTCATTTACAAGGAGTTGTGGTTATTTAACGGTGAAATAAAACTTTTCCCATTGTTTTATGTGCATTATTTTTTCAAATGGTTATTAGGTTGTTAGAGCATAAAGACTTACTAATCTGTTTGGACATAAGTACTAAGAGACTCATTAGATACTTCTTTCTAAAAATCATATATTGTAGGACACTACTAAATCTGAAGTGTTGACTAGCTCAGCAAAAGATATCAATGAAGTGGAGTGATTGGCTCATGACAGCTGACATTGGTATTTGGGATTTCATTTGTGTTAATACAAAAAAATAACTTCAGGGCCCTCCCTGGTGACACAGCGGGTTAAAGCACAGCACTGAGAATCTAAAGCCGCTTCCGCATGAGTTCGATTCCCGCCTGCCCCGGAGGTGACCACATGGCGTGGCAGACCTCTCCTGACCTTCCCGCTGCTCCCCTCAACAGTGTACTTCGTCGATCTGCCTGTTCTGCTCCCCACTATCTCTGGTGAAGCCTCTCACCACCCTTGAGCCTCTGGCCTGTACCCCAGTTCTGTATGTACAAATAAATAAATAAATCTTTAAAAAAAAATAACTTCAAACAACAACAAAAAGGACAAAAACAACAAACAGGAGTGTTTTTGAAATTTTGGGGTGTTCTGTAAAACAGTTGGCTTTCCTGCTGAGTCTAGGTAGATTACTGACATTAATAAATCATGTAATTGTATATATCAAATTTTCTTTCTTAGGTCTAAATAATGATTTAATTTAATTGAACACATATACAGTTTCATAGTATGGAACATCTGGTAGATGCTTATATTATGATGAGCTCTGATTGTAGCCATTTCTTTTGCTTTAGAGCTGCTGTGGAAAACTTCTGGGATGTTTAAGAGTATATGAATGAGTGTGAGGAATTCTGAATTAATGATTTTTTGAAAAGATTTATTTATTTTGCAAATAGAACTGGGGGTAGAGTCCAGAGGCACAGCAGCGATGAGTGCAGAGTGGGGACCAGAACAGGCAGATTAACTGAAATACACTGCTCAGGGGAGCAGCTGGCAAGACAGGAGAGGTCTGCTGCACCTTGTGGGGCAACCCCTTGGCTGGAGATTGAATTCGTGCTGAAGTGGCTTTGGTGTGCCACCAGGGAGGGTCCTGAATTAAGCTAAAAAAAAAGGACATTATTTTTTTTTAAGCTAAAAAAATGACATTATTATGTTGTCTTTTAGGAGGATAAAGCAATTGAAAGATTTTGAATTTTTGGGAATAAACTGGTGTAATACTTATTGTTTGATGTGATGGAAGGAAGTAGGGCATAAGGGAGTCTGGGATTTTCAACTAAGTTACAACAAAGGTCTTTAGACATGATTTCTTATTTACTCACATGTTTTTTACAATAAAGATACAAATGTGTATTGATGTATAAATAGCTGCACTGAATTTTCTTAAAAAAATACGGTTTTTTTTCTGGCCCTCCCTGGTGGCGCAGCAGGTTAAAGCACAGCACTAAGAAGCTAAAGCCGCTTCTGCATGAGTTCGATTCCTACCTCCCCTGGAGGTGACAACATGGCGTGGCAGACCTCTCCTGACCCTCCTGCTGCTCCCTTCAGCAGTGTACCTGTCAATCTGCCTGTTCTGCTCCCCACTCTGTCTCTGGTGAAGCCTCTCGCTGCCCCTGAGCCTCTGGCCTGTACCCCAGTTCTGTATGCACAAATAAATTAATCTTTAAAAAAAAAATACAGGTTTTTTTTTTTACGGGGTGGAGTGGGGAATGGGATCAAAAACAGTGGGGGGAGGAAAGTGCACTGGATCATGGTGATGGCATGCGGGTGATTTGGTGATGGGAAGCCCATGGGGATTATAACTGAGATTGAAAAAGGCACAAAATGATGTAAAAATAAACTATTATATTTAAAAAATACCATGTCTTTGAGATGGCATAGAAAGTGTTAACTATTTGCATTTTTATTGGCCTTTATTCTCCAGCTTTCACAAAGAGGTATAAATAAGTCAAGTTGCATATGAAGAGTGGGACAACTTAACCTCAGAGAGCTTAAATTCCACTTTTTTTTTGACTTTAGCCCTGCTGTTCATGTTTGAGAAATAGGTTGAAAACAGAATACTTATGGAAAGTTCCAGAAATGGGCCTGTTCATAAACTTATCTGCCCCTATAATGACCATAAGTTTCAATATATTACATTTTGTGGTTTCCTTCTGCAGGTGGTTATAGGATATGCTTTGTGCTCAAAGGTCTTGTCAAGGTGAATGATTGGTCAGGTTTCATAGTCCTGAAAGAGCTAGACTGCTCCCCTCCTGCACCTAAACTAAAGTTAGTATGGTCAGGCTGAGAAAACTGAGCGGGGCATTTGAGCTCTGGTATTATTGAGGGATTTGTTTCTCCACTATGTTCCTTCATAGCTTTGCAGGTTAAATGAGAATGCCCCAACCACTCTGACAGAGATCTGACAGAATTACTGAAGTAGAGCTGGAGAAGAGGTATTTAAGAAATTTTATTTTCACTTGGAAGAAGAGCCCATCCAAATCTTATCAGATAAAAGCCACAGTGGAAACTAGATTGGTAGAATTTGCTGCTCTGTAGGGTATGGTTACTCTGTAGGTTCTTTAAATAGGAACTAGGTGTGAAACTAGTTAGAGTAGTTTGGAAATTATAGATTTGTACTTAGGATTGTGGGGTCATATACTTGTGTGCATGTGTATATAAGTATATATGTGTGTATGTGTATATTATGTGCATATACATACATACATATATATGTGTATATATATGTATACACACACATATTTTAAAGATTTATTTATTTATGCAAGAACTGGCCAGAGGTGTGGGGGCTGAGGGGGAGCAGCTGGCAGGTCAGGAGAGGTCTGCCACACCGTATTGGAATCGAACTTGTGCTACAGTGGCTTTGGACAGCTTCATAGTGCTGTGCTTTAACCTGTTGCACCACCAGGGAGGGCCTACATATATATATATATACATATATGTATGTGAAAAAACTTAGATTTGACTCTTAAAGTCAGAGAATCAGAGTCATAGTTTATCTCTGCTAACGTTTCTCTAATTTCATTTAGGTGTTTGGGAAAGGTCATTTCCTTTCATCCTTCTCAATTTAAAATAAAAAGAAAATACTAAGTGTGAAGAAGTCCAACAAAGTTGTGTTTTTTGCATGATGGAATTATTACTTTTTTTTTTTAACACGTGGCAATTGCCAATTAAAAAAGAGTCAAACCCATAATAACACTTTTGATTTTCTTGCTGTGCTGTTCCCCATGACATGTTAGAATTAACTTTCCAAAGTCTCCCATCACAGACATTACTGAGTGGTGTGTGTGTGTGTGTTTGTGTGTTTGTGTGTGTGTGTGGTGTGTGCCTGATGCTGGGCAGGGGCTAGTCATGTGGAAGGTAAGTAAGACCTGTTTCCTGCTTTTATCTCTTGCCACCTGAGAGTTTTCTTCTCCACATTTGGATCACATAGAAGACTGCCACATTATATCATGGACTTCCTGAACCGTATTTTAGGATTGCTTTGGAGCTCGGGCAGCAAAGGGAAGTCACCTTTGATCATGCTTTATTCAGGAGATGTGGTGTTGATGGCAGTAATGATGCTGATGACGGCTACTTTTTAAAAAATTATTGTAATAGTTTGTTTTTACATCATAGTGCCTTTTGCCATCTCAGTTGTAATCCCCGTGGACTTCTGGACTTCCCATCACTAGTTCACCCATGTGCCATCACCATAGTCCTGTGCACTTCCCTCCATCTCCTCCACCCACCCCCCCTTTTTGATCCCATTCCCCACTCCACCACCGTAAAATGTCTCTGATATATAGTTATTTGTAATTATTGTTTTTCGCCCCTCATCCTTTATGTTCCTGCTATGAGTGAAATCGATGATGGCTACTTTTTTATGGAACCCCTATTTCCTGCAAGATCCTGTATTTGGTACCTTAAAACCTCATTTTGTTTAACCCATTTAATAATCTTGTAGTGCAAATAGTACTATCCGTAGCTTACTCTTAAGGAAAATAAATTTGGAAAGAAATTCCCCAGGGTTATATAGCTAATAAATGTCAGAGTGGGATTAAATTATCTTTTTTCTTTTGGTCACGTAAGATTTGAATTAGCACTAAATTAAGGTATTTTTGTGCAAGAGAGACTCTTAGATAATGTATTGTACTAGCTCAGTCTGTACCCAAAAACAAAAGGTTTGTATTTGTTTTAAATAACATTTCAGTTATTTAAAACAGCTATACATGATGTAATAAAAATTTAAGAATAGTTTATGCTCACTATTTTTGTTTGCTCAGATTCCTTCCAATTTTTGTTCAAAAAAGTTGTCTTTATAAGTGGAGAGGGGTTTTGTATTTTTAGCATTAACAGAGCATAACATTTAAATAAATATTTAAATAATATTCTATTGAGTTGAACACTCTTCTCATCAAACATTTCAGTTCCAAATTAAAATAATAGATCTTCAGGAAGATAACATAGAATGTTTTTGCTACAATCATTTCCTTTAAATAAATACCTTTAGTTACATCTTGAACCCTTAAAATGTTGTCTGACTTCGCTTTTTGTCAAATCAACCTCTTAAGATTATCTAATGTTTCTTTATTTTGGCAGTATGATTCTTATTATTTATGACCTTATCAAAATGCTTAGATTGTGTTTAGCAGTACCTCATTTTCCACTTAATACTACTCTGTCTTTGAGAATTCAAGAGCAGAGCTGTACACAGTGACATTGGGCTTTTGGTTGGAGGTTTACAAGGCAGAAAGAATCTTTGGCTTACCAGGCAGTAAGAAGCTTTGGTCCTCAGCACCTGCTTTGTCTGGTAAAATAGCTTTCTCCTATCTACAAAGGGAACATGTTTATGCATGGGTGTGGGTATGTCAGTGGACTGTGTGGCTCAACAGCTTTTTGTCACCATAGTTCCAAACATATAAATATACAAACATAATCTGGGGCACTGGCATCCATGTGAATGTGAGGCTGAAATGTCCATGTAAATATTGTGACAAGACATTTCCTTCGGGCTTCACCTAACCTTTACCAGAGATTAATCAAGTAAAGAGGTGATGACTTGATAGGTAACAGGCCAGAGGAGCTCATTTTTCTTAGTGAACATTTCTCCTTTGCCCCAGGACAGTGTTGTGGCTTACTGTGTGAAACCTTCACTACTTTTGGAGGGGAAGAGGCACAGAGGGAAATTGAAGTTTTAAAGAATAATTACTATTTCTTGACCTTTTATGTGTCAGGTCTCTCTCTCTCTATTCCTTATATAAACTGTGTGAGATAAGTGTTATTATCTCCCTCTGCAAACAAGGCAAACAAGTGTTGGAAAGTTTTGATCTGCCCAAAGTGACATTTAGTTTTGGAGCCAGAATTGTTCCTAGGTTTATCTTCTCTTGAATCGATGTGCTATCTTCCAGTTTGCACGAATTGTGGAAAACATTCAAACCCATTTTTATAAAATCAGCAAATCAGATACCTGAGTGATCATAATGAACAATCTGTTCCTTTAAACCTCTTTAAGAATTAAATACCTAGTACCAATGTCCCAATGTCCATTTTAATTATAAAGCTTTATGATATGACTCAGTTTTCTTTATATATCTGTCACAAATAAGTGTAACTTTGGAAAGATGCTAAGGGCTCGTATCATATTTCTGGTTTGGGACAGATGGATGGTTGTGTCACAGGAGGGAATTGTAAATGTCCACCCTTGGTTAGTCTTACCTGTGGATTTCTGGTTTCCCCAGTCAGTTCTGCCTTTGTGTGGAATGTTCTTTCTTCATGTCTTGTTCTTTTTTTTTTAATTTTCTCCTCAGATCTAGATACCGATGACGATTTAAATAGCGATGATTATGAATATGAAGATGAAGCCAAACTTGTTATATTCCCAGACCACTATGAAATAGCACTGCCAAATATTGAGGAGTTACCAGCCCTGGTCAGTGAGTGTGCACGGCTGCTAGCTAGATGCGCGTGACTCTCTGTGTCAGGTGTGTGTGCGTGTGTGGTGTGTTTGCGCTCTGGGTTGGGGGAGGTGGGTTGAATGAGAGAAGGGGTGAAGAATGAACATGGAACAGGAGCACATGGAGGCTTCTCTGGGAAAAGGGTTCCTTTTTTTTTTAGTAGAGTTGGGTCCACCATCCCCTCTGCCTGTTGTTTGCAGTGGTTTGGGCTTCCTTGCTCCTTGAGCCTCCTGCGGGGGTGTTGGGGGTGGTGGAGGGGGCTGACTTCATGTCCCCTGTGACTGATAGATTTTTAAATTATACCCTCTAAAAGTGCAGGGACCTCTGGAGATGGGCTGTTTTCTCATCGGACAAATGACCATATTTTCATCTCTTCTACAAGTTGCTTTGTTTGGGGCACGGGAAAGTGTTCTACTGCTAAAATAACGGCAATATGATTATTAAAATAACTAAATATTTACAAATCGCAGGTCTGCAGGAGCTCTGTGGAAAGGTAACCTACTTTTCAAACCTAGGTTTTCGAATTTGAATTTAATTGTGAGCATCCCCCCCTCCCCCTTTTTCTCCTTTGGTGAAGTAACTTTTGTCTTTGAACAACTTCATGCAGGCATGGAAGTGGTTGTAGGGGGGAAGTTAAGGTGTTTTCCTTTGAATTTCAAATCTTTGAAGTGGGCACAGATTCCTGAAGGGACAGACCCTAGTTGTTCCTCTCTTTCCTCACGGACCCTAGTTGTTCCTCTCTTTCCTCACTTCTCTATGGCCTTCTCCACTCCATTGTTTTTTTTTTTTTTTTAATTTTAAGATTTATTTATTTGTGCATACAGAACTGGGGTACAGGCCAGAGGCTCAGGGGCGGTGAGAGGCTTCACCAGAGACAGAGTGGGGAGCAGAACAGGCAGATCGACGAAGTACACTGTTGAGGGGAGCAGCGGGTGGGTCAGGAGAGGTCTGCCACACCATGTGGTCACCTCCGGGGCAGGTGGGAATCGAACTCATGCGGAAGCGGCTTTAGATTCTCAGTGCTGTGCTTTAACCCACTGCGCCACCAGGGAGGACCACTCCATTGTTTTTTAACTTTGCTTTCTTGCCTTTCATTGTACTTTTCCATTGTACTCCCTGACTTCTCAGCCTGACCACAGATAGCAGGGAGTCAGGGTTGACTCAGGATAGACAAGCCAGTTTGTTTTTTTCCTTTTCTTACTCTGCTGACCCAAAGCCAGGGTTTTAGGTCCTGGAATCTTCTGGATGTTGTATGACTCTGTGTCTCCTACCCAAGAGGGGATGTTTGTGTTTGGAGACCCAAGCTTTAGGGACCAGGTTTTCACAATCCATAACTTCTTTTGCCCCTGACATACTTTATATTAAACGTGAGTGCATAGGAACAAAAATTTTGTGTGTTTAGCTATTGTAACTCCTTCCCTCAATTACTAAATGTAACATGTCCATCTTTTACACAGCTTTTAGCAGTGCATACAGAATTGAATTATTTTTGCTTCTCTGATTTCCTGTGCTGACTCATGTGACTCTTAGCAAGGATAAGAGATCTGAGTGGACAAAATGGTATTTCTTTGTCCCATTACCTGAAATTATATACTCAAGCTTGTATCTCTATACTAGTGAGAGTTCTTACTGTCCTTGTGTACTATAACTCAAGGTCCACTGTTAGAAAAGAAGCACAGTGTGAATAAATGTCACAAGAAATTATTTTTTTGTCATTCATTTGTGAAGAAAAAAATCTTCATGTGAAAGAATTAATAAAGCTCTAAGTTTTATGGAGTCATAATTAAAAAATAGTCTGGCCCTCCCTGGTGGCGCAGCGGGTTGAAGCGCAGCGCTAAGAAGTTTAAGCCACTTCAGAATGAGTTTGATTCCTGCCTGCCCCGGAGGTGATCCACATGGCGAGGCAGACCTCTCTGGACCCGTCCGCTGCTCCCCTCAGCAGTGTACTTCCTCGATCTGCCTGTTCTGCTCCCGGCTCTGTTCCTGGTGAATCCTCTCATCCTCCACATCTCTGGCCTGTACCCCAGTTCTATATGAATAAATAAATAAATCTTTTTAAAAAAACACAGTCTATAGTTTGAAGTGTACAACTTAATATTTTAAACTTGTATGTAGTGCAAGATGATTACTACAGTAAATAGATTTGACACCCATCACCACCATAGTTATAATTTTTTTTATTGTGATGAGAACTTTCAAGATCTACTCTTTTAGCAACTTTCAATATGCAATACAGTGTTATTAACTTTATTAAGTATTAGGGGTCAATAAAAGCACAAACGTTCCATTGTAAAATAAATTAGTCGTGGAGAGGGAATGTGCAGCAAGTGATTATAGTTAATGAATACTTACAACTATTCCTACATTCAGGGCTTAATTCAGAGTGTGAATACTTTGATTTCAAAATGAATTGTCCTAGAAATCTCAATCCAGCGATATATATCTTTTTTATTTTTAAAGTTTATTTATTAATGCATACAGAACTGGGGTACAGGCCAGAGAGGCAGGGGTAGCGAGAGGCTTCACCAGAGACAGAGTGGGGAGCAGAACAGGCAGATCGACGAAGTACACTGCTGAGGGAAGCAGCGGGCGGGTCAGGAGAGGTCTGGCTCGCCATGTGGTCTCCTCCGGGGCAGGCGGGAATTGAACTCGTGCGAAAGTGGCTTCAGATTCTCAGTGCTGTGCTTTAACCCGCTGCGCCACCAGGGAGGGCCTATATCTTAACTTTTAATACAGAACCTTTTAGAATTAAGAAATATATTAAGAATAATAAAGAAAAGAGAGAATTATTTGGAAGAATGAGTGGGGAGATTGAAGGAAAAGCCTGGACTTACCGATTGGTAACTGATAGGATTTATCTATATAACAAATGCTAGTTACTATATTTATTTTTCATGCTTTTGCCACTTTTTTGGTGTTGGAGAAACCTCTTTTGAAACTTTTAATAACAAAACTTGTTAAGCTGAAAAATCATCCAACCTAGTGATTCACTAGGTGTGGTCAAAATTGAGAAGAGATGGGTTCCACAGAGATTTTGGATACAGGACTCAAATTGTTCCTTTGTGTGTGTATGTGAGATGGCAGCTAGGGAAATTCTTCCTTCATCTCTTCCTCAGTGCTCCCCAAGGGAAAATACCATGAAATCCAGTTAATTGTGCAGGATGTTAGTGATACAGAATACAATTTTTTTGTTAAAGACTTAAAAAATATAAGCATATTCACATAGTTTAGATATTTTGGAGGCCATATGCACTGTATTGTGCATACATGAAGTTACTACGTAACAGTACAAACACACCCTCTTATAACCTGGCAAAAGCAAGTTAAACAACCCTATGAAACAAATGAGCGGAAAATATGAACAGATATGTTTATGGAAAATTAAGTGCTATTTCACCAATAAATATACAAAACAATGGTTATTCTCCTTAATAGTTAAGAATAATTGTTAAGTTGTGCATCATTTTAATGTACAAGCATAAACAAAGGGAGAAATAATATGCCCTGATGACAGGAGAGAGAAAAGAAGCAATTTCTAATATAATTGGTGAAAATGTAAATAGCAACAGCTCACCATTTGCAAAACAAAATAAGACAGAAGGGCAAAATCCACATCCCTTCACAACTCCTTTGGATAGCCACACAGCAGTTTTCTTAGTCTCCTCTTGAATCTGACATTAACTGTCAAAATTAGAAATTTATGTAATTTAAAAAATTGTGTTTTTTTTTTAAGATTTATTTATTTGTGCATACAGAAGTGGGGTACAGGCCAGAGACTCAGGGGCGGCGAAAGACTTCACCAGAGACAGAGTGGGGAGCAGAACAGGCAGATGGACGAAGTACACTGCTGAGGGGAGCAGCGGGCGGGTCAGGAGAGGTCTGCCACACCATGTGGTCACCTCCGGGGCAGGCGGGAATCGAACTCATGCGGAAGTGGTTTCAGCTTCTTAGTGCAGTGCTTTAACCCGCTGCGCCACCAGGGAGGGCCAAAATTGTGTTGTTCTTATTGTCATAATGTTGGTTTACAACACTTGTATACGATTTAGAGGTATAAGTTTACATCTCTTCAAATCTATCAGTCATTCCAGTGATGAGTCTATACACAAAGGGAAAGGACAAAGGAACCAGTTATAACCTCAGTCTTACAGCCAGATTTCTAGGGCTTAGCTTTAGTCTTTCCCCTTTGTCCTTTTATGTTTGACTTAGGAGTAAAATCATCTTGTTTTTATCTTTCTCTTTTTGCTTTTTTTACCATAATGTCCTAATGGCAAGATTTCATCTTTTTTTTATAGCTAAGTAATATTCCTTTGTGAGTGTAGACTGAATCTTAATCCCACTCATCTGTTTTTGGTAATTTAGGTTGTTTCCATAGCTTGGCTATTATAAGTAGAACATAGGAATTCCTCATTCCCTTTGTGTTAGTTTATTTGTATTCTTCAGGTAGATGTCTGTGAGTAGTATTGCTGTATCATATGCTAGATCTATTTATTTAAAAAAGATTTACTGGGCCCTCCCTGGTGGCGCAGCGGGTTAGAGCACAGCACTGAGAATCTGGGGCCGCTTCCGCATGAGTTCGATTCCCGCCTGCCCTGGAGGTGACCACATGGCGCGGCAGACCTCTCCTGACCCGCCCGCTGCTCCCCTCAGCAGTGTACTTCATCCATCTGCCTGTTCTGCTCCCCACTCTGTCTCTGGTGAAGACTCTCGCTGCCCCTGAGCTTCTGGCCTGTACCCCAGTTCTGTATGCACAAATAAATAAATCTTTAAAAAAAAAAAGATTTACTTATTTATGCTTACAGAACTGGGGTACAAGCCAGAGGTGTGGTGGGTGAGAGGATTCATCAGAGACATAGTGGGGAGCAGAACAGGCAGACTGACAAAGTACAATGCTGAGGGGAGCAGCGGGCAGGTCAGAAGAGGTCTGCTGCTCCAGGTGGTTCAGCTCCCTGGCTGGGGATTGAACTCATGCTGCAGTGGCTTTGGAGAGCTTCATAATGCGGTACTTTAACCTGTTGTGCCACCAGAGAGAGCCCAAGCTAGATATATTTTTAATATTTTGAGAAACCTCCGTACTATTTTGATAGAGACTAGGCCAATCTATATTCCCATCCACAGAATACAAGGGGTCCTTTTTCTCTTCACCTTTGACAATGCTTATTGAGTCTGTCACAGGGCACCCCAATGTGAATGGGTTGCCTATCTGTGGGTCCTCACCTCTGCACTTAAGATTCAGTCAAACTATGGACACACACAAAAAAGTGCATGAGGATCAATGAGCATTTTTTCATGTGTCTGCTGGCCATCTGTATTTCTTCTTTTGGAAAGGGGTGTGTTTATTACTTCTACCCATTTTTTGATTGTTATTTTCTTTGGGTTGTGTTGTATGAGTTTTTGTAGATCTTGGATATTAGCCCCAGGTCAAAATGTATGATGTGCAAATGTTTTCCCCTTTCTTCAGGGTGTCTTTTTGTTTTAATGATAGCTTCTTCTACTATGTAAAAGGTTATTAGTTCGATGTAGTCTCATTTATTTATTTTTGCCTTTTTTCTAGTGCTATGGTGTTGACTATCTCTGCATCCTTGGTTATACATGATCCTTTTAATATGTGTATTTTTTTAAAAACAATTTAGTGACTTTTATTGTAGTCAGAGTTAGATAGCAATCATCACTATGTCATTTCAGAATATTTTACTATTCCCCGAAATACTGGGTTGGTCAGTTGGTGTCAAGTTCAGTGTCCCAGATTTGGCTCACCATGTGGGATGATGTAGTAGAGTGACACCTATGCACATCCCTTTCTTGGGTCGCATTTGTGCCAAATTAAGAAATGGAGCCATGCTGCTTACATTCCATGCTTGTGTCTTTGACCCCATGCCATGTGTGCTGAGTTGAGGATATTGGGTATCCATCTGGATATGTATTTGTTAGGAAGAAAACACACTGCTTAGGTAAATCCTACAATCTTGTAGTTAATTTCATCCTTGTAAGTTGTTTATCTTAGACTTTTCACTCCCCTTACTGAGAGGAGAGCTTGTTAAATCTGATTCCTAGACTTGGCTATAGAAACTGCATTTGATTTCTTGCTATCTTGTGGCTTAGTCAGCACTGCACATTAAAGGCCAGGGACAAAATCTAGGTAGATCCATAGGGAAGGGAAACTGGGAAGCAGGAAACTGGGATTTTGCTTTCATGGTAACTGTGCTGTTTGAATTTTCTTGGAGTAAGTTGTTACTTACTAATAAATTTTAAGATTCATTTTCTAGAAGTTGATAGTCTCTTCAACTTTATCTTTGTATATCACAGCTGGATTTGTCTTTTAGGTAACAATTGCTTGCGATGCAGTTCTCAACTCAAAATCTCCATATAGAAAGCAGGACCCAGACACATGGGAAAACGAATTGCCAGTATCCAAATATGCCAATAACCTCTCCCAGCTCGACAATGGAGTCAGGATTCCTCCAAGGTGAGAGTCAGATTGCAAAGTGGAACTTTATCCTCTAAAACTGGTCCACGGGATATTTACTTTTTTGAAAACCTATTCTTTGATTTAGCAGTTATACATTTTCTTGCCAGAAAATACCCTTTATTAAAAATAAGTTTAAGTTTCTGAAACCATTAAAATCTTCTGAATCCTTTTGGTAGCTGCTAACATTACAGCCCTTACCCCTGAGTGTCCATGACCTTAGGCTTACAGTTGCAAGCATCTCCAATTCGTTGCTGGAGGGTTGTTTTTCTGTCTGTTGAAGCCACACAGGCCTGGGATAGTCAGAAATGCCATAAAGTTACTGTACCCTCCTGGTCTCCTGGAAGAGCTCTCAGCTAATGACTGTGGACAGTGGATGAAAGAGGCCCTGGGTCCCTATCCTCAGCTGCGACAACTGTCTCCTGAGCTCGTAGCAGGACTGAGTCCCACAGTCCTGTGGTCTTCTGTTCCTTACATCCCTCTACTGACTTCCAATCTTTTTAGTCTCAGTGCTGTTCCCTCCCTGCCTTTTGCTTCCTGGGACCATCTCCCAACAAATCATTTGCATTCAGATATTTGTCTTGGGGTCTGCTCCTAGAGAAACCCTTGCAAAAACTGCTTGCAACACTCTTTGGTTGTCACGTTTTTGGCTGGAATGTTCTCTGGGCCACCTTAGCACCTCTAGTAGGGCCAGAGTGTTTATAGGTGATAAAGGGAAAGAGCAGGTGCATTGGGAATGAGTGTAAAACATTGAACCTCCATAGTACTGCATTCCCAATCTGTTTGATCTCGGGGAATGTGTGATCTGTGTGATCTGTGTACTTCTGGGCTTCAGTTTCTGTCTTGGAAAAGGGGCTGGTAATACTGATACTAAAAGACATTTATTACGAATTAAATGGTAGAACTTATATAAGGTACCTGAAACATACCTGGTATAGAATATTCAGTTGGTTTCTTTTTTACTTCCTGGCAATGCAGTAGGGTTTTGTTTAAATTGGTTTTACTATGTATCATTAATGCTTTTGAAATTTAGATGTTTATATCAAAACTTAGGGGATCTTTAATACTTTAAGCTTATTCAAGGGCCACTACCCCTTATGTAGGAATTTTAAGGAAATGATTTTCCCTCTGGCTCTGTGTCAGTTTTCTGTAGTAAAAGAGGCATCTTGGAGTAGCTAAAAGGAGTTGGTCCCCCATTTTGGGGGCAGACAGGGTACTGAGAGGTTCTGTTCCTCTGGGAGGGGTAACACTAACGCTTTGAGAGGAGAAAATGGGGAACTCCCAGTCTTATTCCATTGACCATTTCCTGTGACCTCCTAGCTTGTTTCCTTGGATGTTAATTTCTGATTATGTCCTGTGTCTTGGTCGTGTTAACTGCCCTTCAATGACTTTTCAGTGGTTGGAAGTGTGCCAGGTGTGACCTGCGGGAAAATCTCTGGTTGAACCTGACTGATGGCTCCGTGCTCTGTGGAAAGTGGTTCTTCGACAGCTCTGGAGGCAATGGGCACGCTCTGGAGCATTACCGTGACATGGGCTACCCCCTAGCTGTGAAACTGGGAACCATCACTCCTGATGGGGCAGGTGAGTGCTTCTTTATTAAATTTGGGAACTTGCACTGCTCCCACTTCAGTTTACCCAAACCTTTATCTCTAGGGTTAGAGGATGTAGGCACTGGACTCAAGCAACTCGTTGGAGTCCTGCATTGGTCCCTTTTTAGCAGTGAAGTCTCAAGGGCACGTTTTCAAGTCCGTGTAAGCCTCATGTTCCTCATCTTGAGGATAATTATACTTCCCTCATAGGTTTAGTAAACCACATAAGCATTTAGCCTAGTGCACGTAGTAAGCACTTAATAGCTGTTAGCTGCTACTGTTACTGTGTTTCTCTGTGTTTCTGTATATCACTTGTGAAATGAATGTGCATTAAACCTGTCATTAGACTAGTAAGGCAAACCTGAGAATCCATTATGGGGAATTAGCATCATTTAAGGAACAAATGAATTCATTATGGAGAAGATGGGTTTTACAGGATACTGCGAATCCAGAGTCCCTGAGGTCAGCTTGCTGTGGTGGTGCTTGTTGAGCAGAGGATGAGAATTGGGTCCCGCTTGCAGTTTCCTTTCTTTATGTTCTCTCAGTACACTCCAAAGTGTAAGCTATTGGCCATGTTTGTACAGTTAATTCCTTCTACTCTCCTGTGAGGGAAAAGGGAAATAATATCAGGGTTAGGTAATGAGAAACTTCACTGTTGAGCAGTGGCCAGAACAATCCACCATATAAACTTCACTGGAAACACTGAATAAACACTGGTCTAGACCAACAGCCATGCCTGTCTCCCCATCTTTCCAGACTTTATTTTCTTTAAAATGTCAATTAATTAATTATTGAGGAAACATTGATTTATAATACTATATATGGTTCAGGGGTATAGGTTCATACCTTTTCAGATGTTGATTTGTAGGGTTTGGTTTTGTCTGATCCTTTGTTTTGTTCCTATATATTTCACATGTGAAATATATGACATGTGACAGTATTTGGCATTTGTTTTTCTCTCTGACTTATTTCACTTAGCATAATCCCCTCCATCCATCTTGTTGCAAATGGCAATAGTTCATCTTTTTATAGCTGCACAGTATTGCATTCTTTAAGGTGAGATAATATTTTAGGAGAAAAATAAAGATATTTGTCTTTGCTCTTTTTTCTTCTTTGTTATCTTGCTATGATTGAATTATGAGTTTTCTCTAAACATGATATACTTCTTGCCAATTGTGGTTTTTTCTTTGTTTTTAGTTTTTCATTTGCTTTATAATTGAAGATGACCTAGTAGATCATGTCAAGAGTCTTTTGTTTCTCATTTGCAGTAATTCTCCTGCTTCTGAAGTGAATAGGCTTATTTTAATTCTTTAGAAAAAAATAGTTGTGAGAGTCTGAGATTTAACTCCAATCTCCCAAGTAAATAAACCTCTACATAAGTCATGTTAGGTCTTAGGACTTCCAGGATCTGAAGAGGAATTTCGGGATTTGCTTTTGGATTCAGGTTAGAGCAAGGTGCTTACTAGTCTTTGCTATGCTGAATGGCAGCTATATAAGACAAGCATACTTACCTTTTAGGGGATTCCATTAGATAAAATTGCAAGGAGAGAATTAATTGGATGTTTCTAGTTTCTATACCATCTAGTTTCTATACCATCTAGAGTGTTTTGCTAAGACTAGTTATTAGATGTCCAATTTTCAGACTGTCTTCAAGACTACAACCATGACTTAATTCAAAATTTTCAGTTTGTCTAAAGTCAAAGGCTATGTTTTACTCATCTGCAGGTAGACCGTGCCGAATCTTGCGCATAAAATACACAATTTAAAAAAAGATTTATTTATTTATGCATACAGAGCTGGGGTACAGGCCAGAGGTGCAGGGGTGGTGAGAGGATTCACCAGAGACAGAATGGGGAGCGGAACAGGCTGACTGACGAACTACACTACTGAGGGGAACAGCGGATGGATCAGGAGAGGTCTGCTGTGCCATGTGGTCACCTCCGGGGTGGGGATCGAACTCATGCTGAAGTGGCTTTAGCTTCTTAGTTTAGTGCTGTGCTTTAACCCCCTGCACCACCAGGGAGGGCCAACACAAATATTTTTTACTAAAATAACCACCTAGCTTGGAGTCAAAGTCTTGACTAATATATAAGTATTTAAATAATTAGACTATTTAATTATTTATGCTCATAGTAAAAGCTAGTCTTAATTATATTCTCTTTGCCTCTTTAAATTTTCAGAAGCTTTTGTTCAAATAGAAACATATTTTCAAACTGATATAGCATAATTCTAAGTTAATTTTCTTCTCAGGGAGGAAGGAAAGTTTTGTATTTCCCCTTGATTATACAAGAAGCAGATGTTCACTATAACATATTTAGGAAACAGAGAAAAGTGTAGAGACGTAAATAAAGATCAGTAGTTATACCACTTCTCAGGTGAATCACTTCCATCCTTTTAGTATACCACATTTTTACAGTTACATAAAGTTTATCCATTATTTATCTTTAACATTAGATTATATTTCACATCATTAAATATTTATCAGTATTCCATAATAGTTCCATAGTTTCACTGTACCCCAATTAATTGTTATAATTTATTCCCCCATTCTAATGAACATTGTACATTGGCAAATCTTTGGGCATTTATATAAAGATTTTTTTTAAGGATAAATTCCAATGAGCACATGGTTAAAACTTTGAAGTTTTAATTCCCCAGTGTTTCTTTTAAACAGTTGTAGCAATTTATATCCACACAACTTGTTTATAAGAACATTTCAACAAATTATTGGCAACTTTAGATATTAAAATTAAAAAAAAAAAACACCATTGTTAATCTGGTATCTTTTTTTTTTTTTTAAAGATTTTATTTATTTATTCATACAGAAATGGAGTACAGGCCAGAGGTACAGGGGTGGTGAGAGGATTCACCAGAGACAGAGTGGGGAGCAGAACAGGCAGATCAACGAAGTACACTGCTGAGGGGTGCAGCGGGCAGGCCAGGAGAGGTCTGCCGCACCACACCATGTGGGTCACCTCTGGGGCAGGCCGGGATCGAACGAAGGTGGCTTTAGATTCTTAGTGCAGTGCTTTAACCTACTGTGCCACCAGGGATGGCCCAAATCTGGTATCTTTTTAATTTGCTTTATTAGAGAGGCTTAACACTTTATGATACTATTTACCTTTAGTAATTCTTTCTTTACAATTTCCTTTGGCTTACTCTCTAGAATGTGTATTTCAGTTATTTGTATTTAAGAACTCTTTAGTTATGTAGAATATTAACCTACTGTCTACCATAGTTACAGTTTTTCATTTTTTTTTTTAAAGAAGGGCATTAAAGGCTTTTTAAAAAAATCATATAATTGAGATTATTTGAATAAATACTCCTGTTTCAAGCAAAAAATAGCCATAAAATTGGCACTAACAATGCAGATTGTATGCCTTGTGATGAGGGCTCTTGAATTCATTTAGCAGAAATAATCTCTTTTTTAAAAAAATACTTTTTGAGTAAAAAGTAGGATTTGATTTCTGCTTATTTTGTGCAGTTGGTTTTAATACAAATGATTATTTTTTTCTAATTTCATATTAGGTCATGGGATGTATCAATTTAATTTTAGTTTCACTTAAATCAACTTGATGAATAATAAGCTTTTTTAAGAGCAAAATAAGCTAATAGAAACTTGCAGTAAATTTCTGTGTAAGATGAGGTCAGGAGGGCTGAATCCCTTTGTCTGGGATGGGGTGGTCACCTCCTGATGAAGGTACAGTGGTTCCATCTCCAATACTCACTGGGTTCACTGAGGGAAACTCAGCGGACAAGAGGTAAGGTCTCAAAGCTAAGGTGTTTATTTTTTGGTTTATAATGAGAACCACAAGTGCCGTATGTGGGATGTTTATGTCACTCTGACCAGTACATTCCTTCCCCGTGGGAAGCTAAATTATATTTAGAAGATTGCTTAGTAAACATGGAATCTAAGCAGGTTTGGACTCAAATATTTAATGGTACTGTGATCTGACCATCCCAGTGTCCTTCTCTCCAATAAGGATATACCTGTCTAGTGAGAAACTTCTGCTCATCCTTGAGGTCTCACTGTAGATTTTAGTTCTTCCCGAAACCCTAACTCCCCAGGCTAGGCCAGTGTGGATCCTGCATAGTAAAAATGGGCCCCGTGTCAAATTCCACTCTGGGTCCCCATGGGTACAAACAAACAAACCAAGAAGCAGATCAGCACACAAATAACGAAAAAGCTCTCCCTTGTGGGAGGAGATACTGATTTGGCAAAGCAAGGAGAGATTCTTGGGGGTAAGAGAGTGAGACTGGATAGAAGCAGGAGAAGTTATATATGTTTTTTCATTTATTGTGAAAACTAATTTATCTAAGAAGAAACCTCAATGCCATGTGATTACAGCAGAGTCTTCTAGAGATGCCCAAGGTGACTATGACATTGTCTGCCCACTTGGCTCTCGTATCTCAAGGTGGTCTTTCTTTGGTCATCTTCACCCTCTGCATGGGCTTAAGCTTTCTCAAGTGTCTCATAGCCCAAAAGTTTTATACCTTTACTTTCATTTTAGTTTTGACCTGGCTTCTTCCTCCTGGTGTTCCTCATGTCATAGCAGCACATCAGGCTCCTGGACGTTTTGTGTAGTGGAGGTCACGTCAGACAGTGGGGTCTGAGAGCCTTGTGTGCTGTAGACCGTTATATCTCTAGCATCTTGCATAACCCCTAAACGTAGTAGGTGCTCAGTAAATATTTATGGAGGGATATTTAAGAGATGGAGGAAGACACCAATAAAATTTGCCTTCCTTTTGTTGTCTTTTATTGATGTCTTTTTATATTTACTTGTGTTCTTTTCCTGATTACAGTCTAGCCTTTGTGTGGTCTGGGAGTTTTACTCACTACAATGATGGTAAATGCCTCAATGCCATTCATTTTGTGTTTATTTTTCTAGTTTTTTATGGCTGGAGCTTTCATTTCTTATCTGGTTGGTGGCAGATGGTCCACAAGCACACATATATGACTGCAGGGTGGGGAAATGCAGGTTGGATTGGATGGATTAACACTTACTTTGATGAGAACTTTCCCCCATCCTTTCTGCTCTGACTGGTGACTTGGTGTTTGACCAGAGTTCTATTTTCCTCTCCATTGAGCTGTGAGAACGAGAGCAGCAAAACCTGTTTCCCTGGTTTTGTTTTTCCTTCTAAACATAAGAACTGGTTGAGGTTCTTTTTTACCTCTCTCTCTCCTTCCTGTGTGGGAATGTGAGGGCAAGATTTGGACTGCAACCATGTGCTGGGGTTTAGGAAGAAAGTCTAAAGTAACATGATTGACCCTAAGCCAGGAAGATGTCTATGGAGGCCCTTCATCCCAAACCTGCATTTCTTCTGACTATTTGAAATAATAATGTTTAAAATTTTGAGGACAGGGACCTGCCTGATTTTACTTATCATTGTATCTGTATCTTACATATTGTAAACTATAGATCTGTGTTTTAGTTATTGTATCTTACTTGTCCTTAGTATCTGTATATATTGGTGTTCAGTAGATATTTGTTGAATGCAATGAATGAATGAGTGAGCGAGTGACCTGATTCATGTAGATGAACAAAGATGGCAAGTAATGTCAGTCCAAACAGCCTACCATCTAATCAGATCAATTTCATCTTTAGGAATGCTTATGAAATATGTTTTTCCCTGTCAAAATAATGAAATAAATTGGGAGGGGGGGAGCAAAACCCCCCTTGTAGCTATAGTAGTTTACCACCATTTTGTTCTGATTCCTTCTAGGTTCTCAGTCTTGATCTCAGTCAGAGTCCCCATCTCTGTTCTCTAACATTTCCCTTAGTTAATTTTGGAACTGACTGCATGTACTATTTTCTAACTTGCTATCACATCAGTAGGCTATTCATGCTCTATAAATCATCTTTTATCTCTTCTCTTCTGTGGCTCTCTCCTCATGTTCTCTATAGTTTAATGTGTCATTTCACTTGAAATGAAACAATGACTGAACTTCTAAATGAATGTAGTTGCTCTCGTGAAACACTGCTTGGGCTATTCGCTATTCTTGAGAGGATCGCTCAGTGAACATCCTAACGGGTTCCTAGCTCCACTGTTTTAAGGCAAATTAGTGGTGGAGGAGGGTAATGATTACCAGGCAATGCTTATTTGTTACAGTAGTTTCTGAGCTAAGATTTGACTTTGTTCAGAACAAGTCGGTAAGTTAATTTTCCAATGAAAAACATGTTTGGCAGGATTTTCAGCCCTAGTCCACTTTAAATATATTTTTTTTACGACTACATATCCTTTGCAAATATTTCATATTTGTCAAGTTTAAGGATCAGAGTTCATTTTTAGATTTCTTTTGTGTTACTAACTAAATTTTTTAAAAAGATTTATTTATTTATTCATACAGAACGGGGGTACAGACCAGAGATACGGAGGGTGAGAGAACCCACTGGAGACAGAGTGGGGAGCATAACAGGCAGATCGATGAAGTACACTGCTGAGGGGAGCAGTGGGCGGGTCAGGAGAGATCTGCTGCGCCATGTGGGCCACCTCTGGGGCAGGCAGGGATCGAACTCATGCTGAAGTGGCTTTAGCTTCTTAGTGCTATGCTTTAACCCACTGCACCACCAGGGAGGGCCCTCACTAAATTGTTATTATCATTGAGTTAAGAAATTACTACCTTTTGTGTCTGTACTAATCATTGCTTTATCTTTGAATCAGTCAATGATTAGGGAATGAAAATGTTAATTTCTTAATGTGTCAAATGGCTAAGTATCATAGGGTACTGGGATACTGATTTCAAAATCCTAGGCCAATGCCAATGGTGCGATTTCCCCAATTTTATTATTTTCTAATAGAACTTTGATACTTAGAAGCCTACAATCTTGTCTGCAAAACAGTCCCCTCATTAATAATAACTAAAGTTAAAATGCTTGGGGGGTGTCCTTTTTACTGCCATCCAGTATTTGAGTGGAATTTTTATACCACTTGTCTTAGATTAAAAATATCTTAAGGCCGAGCCCTCCCTGGTGGTGCAGTGGGTTAAAGCACTGCACTGGGAAGCTTAAGCCACTTCCTCATGAGTTCTATTCCCTCCTGCCCTGGAGGTGACCACATGGCGCAGCAGACCTCTCCTGACTGGCCCGCTGCTCCCCGCAGCAGTGTACTTCATCAGTCGGCCTGTTCTGCTCCCCCCTCTCTCTCTGGTGAATCCTCTCACCACCCCTGCACCTCTGGTCTGTACCCCAGTTCTGTATACATAAATAAATAAATCTTAAAAAAAATTTTAATTTATTGGTTCAAGTTATTAGTGCCAAGATTAAAAAAATATATATTTATTTATTTATGCATACAAGAACTGGGTTGCGGGCCAGAGGTGTGGAAGGTGAGGGATTCACAAGAGACAGTGGGGACCAGAACAGGCAGATTGACAGTACACTACTGAAGGGAGCTATGGACAGGTCAGGAGAGGTCTGATGTGCCATGTGGGTGACCTCCTACACCGGGCATAGAGCTCTCTGCTGCAGTGGCTATAGATAGCTTCATAGTGCTGCTCTTTAATCCCTTCACCTCCAGGGAGGGCCCATTTTAGTTATTTTTTTTAACATTTAAGCTTTGGAAGTTTTTCCTTGATTGGACTGGAGAACTTTTGTTTTGTTTTAGAGAACACTGAATTATATATATATATATATATATATATATATAAGTGGAAGCTTCTAGCCACTAGTTAAAATGGGTCCCGTGGGCCCTCCCAGGTGGCACAGCGGGTTAAAGCACAGCACTAAGAAGCTAAAGCCACTCTAACATGAGTTCGATCCCCAGCCCCAGAGGTGACCCACATGGCGGCAGACTTTTCCTGACCTGCCTGCTGCTCCCCTCAGCAGTGTACTTTGTCATTTGGCCTGTTCTGCTCCCCACTCTGTCTCTGGTGAATTCTCTCACCACCTCTGCATCTCTGGCCTGTATCCCAGTTCTGTGTGCATAAATAAATAAATACTAAAGAAAAAAGGGAGCCCCCAGGGGAGGAGAGGTAGAAGAGAAAGCTATATATTGTTTAACCTACTGATGATCAAAGACAGACTTCCTTTGGGGTGACAGTGTGTCCAGGAATCTGGGTTTTGTCAAAAGGTCACCCACAAGGCACTGATGTGTGAGAACAAATAAGGGGGAATAATTTGGAGAAAGAAAATAGATCCTCCTTCGCTTTAGATTGTTTTTGAAAACTAAGCAGTGCTTCTCACCCTATATTGGAGATCGCATCCAAATGCCACTTCTCATTTACTGGTTCTGTGAGGGGACCTGGGGTTCTGCATTTCAACAAGCTCTCAGGTGATGCTGCTGCTTTGAGGCCACTTTGAGCATCTGGGTTCAGGTCTGGGGGCTCTGTCACAAGATGATATTTAGAATCCCAAGAGTTGCTAGAGCTTCTCAGTGCGAGTGAGCTATGAGTGGTGACGAGGAACCCCAGATGCCTATTCCTCAGGCCCTGAAGCGGGGCTGCGCCTGGGGTAGCTGGAGTTGCCCCATTGTGCCAAACCCATCATAATTTTCCATTGGCGCTACAAGGTGTTCACCTTTGGGAAGTCTTGCAGTCTTCACAAATCCCTCACCAACATTGTGAGAGGTGGATACTGACAGGAAAGAAGGGAGGTGGAAGTCAGTGAGGGGGTAATTCTGAGACTATGAAGGGTTTCACAGGTGAAAATTTGTTTTGCCCTGGGGTCAACACCTCAGCCCAGGTTCAGAGGGCCTGTAGGGCCCGTGTGTTCTCCCTGTTGAGGAACAGAGTTCACCATGCCATGGACACCTTCTCCTCCTCTTGGACTGAGTTATGACACTGTGGTTATGGTTAGAAAAATCAAACGTTGGGCATTTATACAGGTTTCATTTTAAATTAGTTGGACTTTATACAGTTTTTTTTTCTTGTTTCAGAAAACCTTTTTAAAAACTACTTTCTGAAATTTCAAAAACTTGCTCTCTCATTAGATTCACAAAAAACACCTATTGGTTTTGTTTATTGTTTGTTATCTGTCTTTTCCTCAGTTGGGGTGTAACTTTTTTTAAAGATTTATTTATTTATGCATACAAGAACTGAGGTGAAGGCCAGAGGGATGGGGAGTGAGGATTCACCAGAGACAGAGTGGGGAGCAGGACAGGCAGACTGAAATACACTTGTTGAGGGGAGTAGCAGGCAGGACAGGAGAGCTTTGCTGAGCCATGTGGGCCAGCTCCCTGGCTGGGGATCGAACTCTGTGCTTCCGTGGCTGCGGAGAGCTTCACAGCTGTACTTTAGCCCCTTGTGCCACCAGGGAGACCCTGGTTTTGTTTTGCTCCTTGATCACCCCCAAGTCTGATTGGAGCAGAGTATATGGAAGTTGAATTCTGAATGACTTGATTAACCGATCTCCGTGCTTGTTTTTTCTTCACTCTCTAGATGTTTACTCTTTTCAAGAAGAGGAACCTGTGTTGGATCCTCACTTGGCCAAGCACTTAGCACATTTTGGAATCGACATGCTTCATATGCATGGGGTGAGGTCTCCTGTCTTTATTCCCATTTTGCGGGGAGAAAACTGTTTTTCTTAGTATGCAGCTCCTCCAGCATGATTCTTTATTTTATATTTATTTTATAATAAGTTTTACAGTTGAATATTTACTTTTCCTTCTTGAATTTAATTAGTATTTTCCCTTTCTTTACCAACTAAGATTTTTTAATGTTATAATAAAAAAAGCATCTCACCAACTATGATTTTGCTTTAGATGGAGTTTACTTGTAAAATTTTTCTCTCCTTTCATGAAGAGTGGCATGAATCACTCTTTGTTCACTGAAGGAAGAAGGTATGCAGAGATGACCTTTAAAATTGTCTGTGACCAACATTACTTTAATTAATTTCAGGAAGGAAAGCTGTGCTCCTTGGGGGTGGAAAGAATAATCTAGCACATTCCTGTTGATGGAAAACCTTTGCTTCATTTAATACTATGTTTTCAAGCTGGTCATGACTATGTAATATTTTTTTCCCTGTGAGAAGCTAGCTCAATGTACTGTTTTGTTTTGGCTCTTTGCTCTCAGCCCACTGACTCCCTGTCTTCCTGTTCTGTGCTCGGTCTCTTCTTTCTCACTCATGTCTATTTTGCATTATTTTCTCTGTCCTTCTCTAGACCTCTCCCTTCTATTCTGAGATACATCCCAAACTCCACAACTTTTTCTTTCTGCATTCCTCTCCAAATGCCTTGCCTGTATGCTTACTGTGTTGTATTATATATTGCCCCGAACTAATTCTACTTGTTTCTTTTTGTCCCAATTTCTACTTGTCTTTTTCCCCCCTCTAGTTTGCTTTCTTCTTAGTGTCTCCCTTTTATTTTTAAATATTTTAAGTGTGAGTGTTATTGTGATAAGATACACATAACGGAAAGCTTACCATTTGAACTATTTTTAAGTATACATATCTGTGGCATTAAATATCTTTACATCACTGTGCAACTTTTGCCACATTGGCTGTTGTCATTGGGTTATTTTGCTGTTCAATTGACACAAAAAGGCGGAAATATCCACCACTGTTAGAAGTAATTCGTGGGCCATGATCTCTGACTAATAATCGCAGTTAAAGTGTTTTTTCTTCAACGACTTTGCCCCAGACAGAGAATGGGCTCCGGGACAATGACATCAAGCCAAGGGTCAGCGAGTGGGAAGTGATCCAGGAAACGGGGACGAAGCTGAAGCCCATGTATGGCCCTGGGTACACAGGTCTCAAGAACCTGGGCAACAGCTGCTATCTCAGCTCGGTCATGCAGGCCATCTTTAGCATCCCTGAATTCCAAAGAGCGTAAGTGTCTCTCCTGCAGACCTGGGCTCATAGCAATCCCTCTGCCCCTCCCCCCCATCTGGTCAATGTGTGTTGGGGGGACCAGTTTCCATCAGCCAGTGGACAGTTCAGCCCATTTTCTATGGTGAATTTGTGTTCTGAAGCTGAGTGAGAATGCTTGTTGGGTGTCACAAAGTTCAGGTGAGATACAGACAGCTTTGTGAAGTGAGAAACCACCAAAGGGACTTGATGTGTTAATAGTCACTTCCATTTCTAGACCATCAAGAATCTATTAATTAATAACTTCACAGAAAACCCCTTTCTGATCTATTCTGGTCTTTGTCACCTTCTTTGTGAGTGGGGTGACTTTGAGGGATAAGACTTTTCATGCTTTTGCTATTCAAACTGTGGTTCACGAATGGCAATGGCCTTTGGATTGCTGGTTATGTACGTGAGTGAGGTAAGTATGGGACTGACTGAGAGTCCAGACATTTGTGTATTATTTGACACTGCCGTCAAGAGGTATTGTATTTTCAAATTATTTTTACTATACCTTTAAAACATATCATCTCTGTGAGTTGAAATGAAAAGCTGCCACTTAAACAGAAGTAATTGGAAGTCAGTGATTTAGGGCTCTTCTTAACTGTGCCTGTGCAAGCGGCCTTCTCCTCCCACACTGAGGGTCACAGTGGCTGTCTGTGGCCGCCACCATTGGGGCCCAGGCTGTAGAGTCAGAACTGTGGCTGGTGCACTGCAGGCAGCCACTGCCTCAGGTTAGTTGCTAATGTTCTCCAGATCAGAGAGGCCTCCACTTTGGTTGAAGTTGGAAGAGGCCACACATGTGCTAAGAGAGGTAAATAGGCAGACAGTGTCCTAAGAACTGTGCAGGGAAAATTTTTACCCATATGGAGGTGAGATGTTATTTATTTTTTTATTTTTAAGGATTTACTTATTTATATGTATAAAAACTAGGGTACAGGCCAGAGATGCAGGAGAATCCTCTCTGGTGAGAGGACTCACCAGAGACAGAGTGGGGATAAAAACAGGCAGATCTACTGAAACATACTGCTGAGGGGAGCAGCGGGTATGAGAGGTCTAAGCAGCAGACAGGAGAGATCTGCTGTGCCACATGGGTCACCTCCCTGGCTGGGAATTGAACTCGTGCTGCGGTGGCTGTGAATAGTTTCCTAGTGCTGAGACTTAACTCCTTGTGCCATCAGGGAGGAATTGGAATTGAGATGTTAAATGGTGGTAAATTAAGAGGGTCTCAAATATCTTTTTCTTCTTTCTCTTGGTATTTAAAGAGTTAGGTTTACTGTTTTCTGCCTTTGGCCACTTCTCCACTCCTGAATTTTCATGCAGACAATGAAGAGTGGAGTCTGTCCTCCTCAGTAGTTTGCTGGGTAAGGGTTTCAGTAGTGAACATAGGACATGGTGCCCAGCCCTGCTTGGGGCAAGTGACGGGACATGAATGATACTAAGTATGACCACATAGTTCTGAACTCAGAGAAAAAGGGATGGAGGTGGGCAGGGAGAATATCCTTGATGAAAGGACACTGATATGCAAAAGGGGTGGGGACATGGGGTTTTGGGTGGAATGAGTGTGTTTAAAACTTGCAAGCTTTATTACTCCTTTCGAAGGTATAATACAATACCTTGCAGTGTATTATTTATAATATGATATTTATAATTTATAATACAAAATTTATAATTCATAAATATCTACCCATGTCTTCTACTTGTGTTACTTGATTGGGAAACAAAGCAGCTTCATCTTCCATGCGCCATGTGCCAAGATTAAAAAAAAAGATTGAAATGTGCTTATGGTAGACATTGTGTAATTATTATTTCTTTTAAACCAGGGTGGAAAAATTTGTGTTCTTTTGTTATAAAGCTCAATGTTCTTTTAAGTGCTTTATAATCTATAGCTTTTGAAAAGTCTTGCTACATCGCTAAAGTTTGATGAGCAATTAACTGAATTTTTCTTCAGTGGAAAGAAGTAGCTCATGTCTTTTCTGGATTAATATTTGACCCTTCAGCCTAGTCTTGTTGCAAGAGTTTTAGAATTTTATGTTATCTACTGTCACATGTTCTATTTTATCAATATCTTCTGTATGTGTTAAAACATACATGTTACAATGTATGTTTTAAAACATGGTCTTACTTACCCTCAGCTTTATTTTTGTTCTTTTACCAACTATCACTGAGGTGAAATGTTTACTTTTCAAGATGCTTTACCCTAGCAAGGAACTTGGTGGGATTGGGTCTGGGAACAGTGTCTCCATTTTGTAAGTAGAAAGAATGACTCAGATTAAGTGATTTATGTACAACCACAGTATAATCTGGGAACGTCAGCTTGGCTCCTTGATATCCTGTCTGCTGCTTGAACCCAATTTACACATCAAAATAATTCTAATGACATTCAAATGTAAATAAACTGGTTGCAAATTAAATGACAACTAAAGATGGTTGTCAGATAGCAAAATTAAATTTTTCCCATTGAGAACCACTAGAATGCAAATTAATGATATCATATATTCTTTAAAAGTTAATACCTTTCCTGTTGGGTTATAAATAGTCAATTATGAAATACATTGTGTGATTGCACGTTCTGAATGTACTCATTTAGATATACAAATATGGAGTGCTTTTTGTTAAATGTTCTAGTACTAGAGATGTAGTGATTTAGACCAAGACTGATTTCATTCTAGTGTGTAATTTCTAGAAAGATAGATAGTAAATAAGAATGAAAGTAAGTTATGTGGCAAATGGTGTGCCAAGAAGAAAGTTAGGCAAGGTCAAGTGTTAGGAAATCAGGGAGGAGAAGAAATGACCTTTTTTGGGGGAAAGCATCTTAGGAAGTAACTTGAATAGACACTTGAAAAGGAGCAAGGATCTGCGGAGAGAGTGAGTAGATAATAGCAGATGACACAGTCTTTTTTTTTTTTAATATTTGTTTATTTATGCATACAAGAGCTGGGATACAGGCCAGTGGTGTGGGGGGTGAGAGATTTACCAGAGACAAAGTGGGGAGCAGAACAGGCAGATGTACTGAAATACACTTCAGTGGGTGAGACATGAGAGGTCTGTTGTGCCATGAGGGTCACCTCCCTGGCTGGGGATTGAACTTGTGCTGCACTCGTGCTGCAGTGGCTTGGATAGTTTCATACTGCTGACACTTAATCCCTTGTGCTACCAGGGAGGCCTTCAGATGGCACAGTCTTATAGGAGGAGTACACTTGGTGTGTAAACTGGGGAGAGTGGTGGGAGTGAGGTCAGGGAAGTGGGTGGAACAGGGTGCATGAAGGGCTTGGTAAAAGGTTCTGCTTCTGGATTCTTCTTCCAGCTGTCAGGTTCAGAGACTCACGCCTGAAGAAAAATGAACAGCACAAAAACAGTATGTGAAATAGGAAATGAACTTATGGAGTGAAAGGATTTGTGCATTGTGATTAAACATGGGTGGTTAAAGTGAGCACTGTTCTGGTCAGAAGCAGGGGTTGTCGATTCCTCAAGATTCCTCAAGAGACCTTGGACGGGGCTGGTACTTTCAGAAGAGTGGTTCAGAGCATGAGTTTGGGGCCAAGCTGCCTGCTCTCGTTGTTTCTATCCTGGGTGACTTTGAAAGCTATGTAGTGGATTTTATTTTGATTTCTTATCTCTCAAATGGGTAACCATAATAATCCCTTCCTCATATAGGAATAATAATTTTTTTAAACTTTTTTTTTTTAAGATTTATTTATTTCTGCATACAGAACTAGGTTGTGTACAAGCCAGTGATACAGGGGTAGTGAAAGGCTTCACCAGAGATACAGGGGGGAGCAGAACAGGCAGATCGAGTAAGTACATTGCTGAGGGGAGAAGTAGGTGAACCAGGAGAGGTCTGCTGTTGGTTCACCTCCGTGGCTGGGGATCGAACTCAGGATCAAACTCCCACTGAAGCCTCTGTGGCCAGCTTGCAGTGCTGCGTCCTAACCCTTTGTGCCACCAGGGAGGGCCCTGAATGTAATAAATTTAACCAGGTTTATATAGAAGCCCTCAAGAAACTAGTTGTCACTGTTACTAGCATTTTTATTCATTTTGACATGATTGTTAGGACAATTTATAATCTCACCATTTGTTTTCAAGGTGGAAGTTGCTGTGGCTTAAGCCAGTGGTTTGTGACTGTGGCTACAAGTTAGCATCACTTAGGGGACTTTGCAAGGTTCCAAATCTCATGCCTCAGCCTGAGGTCATGAAATAAAAAAAAAAATCTGGGCTGAATCTGATATTGGTAATTTTTTTTTTATTTTATTAAAAAAGTTTATTTTTACATCATTTTGCACATTTTTTTTTCATCTCAATTGTAATCCCCACGGGTTTCCCATCACCAAATCACCCCTGTGCCACCAC